TCATAAAAGACAACCCACGTGAAAATTTGCATGCCCATGGCATTGTCCAGAAATAAATCAACTTAATGGAAATTGAATAGTTATAAATGTATGTATGTGTGTATGTATGTCTTATGCAATTAGTTAACAGCCAAAATGAGGCTACTACAAACACTAAACGAATTTTACTATTTTGACCTCTCAGCCATAAAATATGCAATTACAATGATTCTTTTCGCTCCGCCTAGAAAACATTTGTACAGCCCCAAAAGGCTTTTTACACTTTTTCACATTGTCAAATGCTGAGTCGACACTTAAGTATTGCATACGTTATGGCGTGCGAACTGAAGCAGCACACTTGTTTAACAATATGAAATGCATATACACAGTTACCCACTGCATATGTACAAGTATGTGCGTACGTATGCGGAAGAGAAGCGGCATCAGGAGGTGGTATAATGGCAGGCTAATAGTTGCAGCATTTGCAGAAGAGCAATTAGCAAAGTTTTTGTTTCGGCGGCACATGACACAATAATAACTATGCCACACCCAGCGCATGTACTTTCTATTTGTGGCCATAAGTTCATATCCTTACTACGTATAAATGACCAACAGGAGCAAAGTGGTTTAGCCTTCGATTACATATACGTTTGTAGATAAATATGTATGTGTGTACATACACACAAGCATCATCTAAAGGCTAGAACTGGGTATCCCCTAAGCCCGTAAAATCCTAGGTAATAGAGTCGGGGAAAAAAATAAAGCAACAATATATTCGGACAGCCTGGCGGTAGTATTAGCAATAGCATCTCCGTCTGCCAAATTTAAGCTGGTTCTTTCCTGGTTTCCCGATCATAGGAACATCGAGGATCATGAGAAAGCTGATGAATTGACGAAAGCAGGAGCCTGTTTAGATGGACCCGAAACGGTTGGACTTTCCCTTTAAAATAATTCAAAGAGAATTTAAACTGCATTTCCTTGGACTGGCAAAAACAAGTGGTCAGATTCACGGACTTGCAAGATAACAGGGCGAATGCCCTGAATTTGCTTAATAAATCGAGGACAGAAGTATTCAAAATTTTAGGTACCACTACGAGGCACTGGCCCCTAGGTGAAAGTGCGGTACGAATGGGATGTCTCTTTAAGCAAAATTGTCGCAGCTGTCAGCGAAGAAGGTGTCCAGCATTTCCTGCGTGAATACCAAGGTCTTGCAAATATTTGGTACAAAAGACTAGGAAGACACATACATAAGTAGTAACACTATCAAGAGCTTTGTACTATAAGCGAAGTACGTCAATACATCAAAAGTGCATAAAAATGCAGCTACTAGAAAGCACTGCAACTAACCAACCTGCTCGCCGTGTTTTCTCTCAATTTGAAACTTTAGTTCGGGAAAGGCGCTGCACAGTCGGAGAGTACAAATAGATGAAGATAAGTCTATGCATTGACAATAGGACGGATATACATACCATACATTTGGACCAAAGAAGTCCGCCGTAGATGATTTGGCATTTACCACTAGATAGCGTCGATCGTAAGCAGAACGTCTTGTACACCCACCGCCAGCGACATGTTACGGCCGACATATTGCGTCACCGCTTTCTTAGGAAACCCTATATTAACAAGGATTACAACTTATAGCGTCTCGTGTAAGTTGTACAGACGTAGATGCAACTGAAACCGAATTAGTTGTCCGGTATGCCGCTTCTGGCGCGAATTTCCGTTTTAGGACGTTTTAAGACTATACTTACGAGGATATTTCCTAAAGAAACAAGTACTCACAGGGATCTGCATCTTGAGACCTCCCTCGATGGCTTTCCAGGATTCGAGTTTAGTATCAGCCTAATTATTTTTTTTGGAAATACAGCTTCTGAAAAGTACTAGGTTTTTATGTACATACAAATGTACCCCTACGCCGATGCCACTATTGTCGAAGATATCACGTACAAATTTTGGTCCCGTTTGAAGACGGTTAAGATGTGTCGCCCAGGGGCAAAGTTTAGATTCCTCTACCGACTTCAATCGGAAATAAAATGTATATGTGATATCCTCGACTTTAGTAGTATCGATTTTGGGAATTAAATGAAAACACATATTTTTAATTTTTTGAGTCCTTGGAGGTATCTGGCCTTTGATCCCTTATTCGACTCCAATCGGGACCAAAATTTATATGTGATATTTTCGACTATGGTTGTATCGATTTTGGGTATTAGATTAAAAAATATATATATCTATATTAATTTTAATTTTTGAGTCTCCATAGAGAATCTGAACTTTGCCCCCTGTGCGACATGCCTTAGCCGTCTCCAATCGGGACCAAAATTTATATGTGATATAAATGACAGTGGTGTTACCGATTGAAAGGGTGAGACTGAAAAAATCGTTCATTTAATTTTTTAAGGACCATCCTAATGTACATACTTATGTAAATATTTATAGCGGCCAATAAATTAAACTTTCAACTGCTAATGCTTCTGTAGACTATGTAGAGTGCTTAGGAGCTGTAAGTGTAGGGAAGCGGTTGAGCCTATTTTATGGCAGTGTAAATGTCACCAGCAGCAAAATATACATCCGCCAATCAAATACCAATTATTCATGGTTGACGTAAGCAAATGCTACACAAAGTGGGAGGGGAATATGAGTGTTAATTACTTACAACATGTCATTTGCAGTAGGTACATTACTTGGCGCATACTTTTTTTTATTTTCCTGCTAATGTCCTTGCCACTGCTATGTATTTCGACTGTTTTGTAGCGCTTGAAATGGCAGAAGACATTAAAAGTGCCCATTGGAAGGGAATTTATTGATTAATTGGTTATTTTGACATAACTTCATGGGATAAAGAGTAACCAGTACTTAACCATCTTTAGTTTAGTTTTTACCTTTCGAAATCAACGGCGACACTATTCACAATAGGAATGAATAAATACCAAATTTCTACAGTCAATGAGCAAAGCATTTTGAAGATTATTACTGAGCGCAAACAACCGCTATTGCCGCTAAAATATAGAAGAGGCTGTATCAATAACTTCGCCGAGAACTGGGTGAACGCAGTGGACCTATTACATACCATTACACCCCGAACAGCTACGGGATGTCTACTGATGTCAGCTTAAAGCCACCTACAAAACTCAACAAGCAATGGCTACTTCCGTCGAGGGAATCTAAACCGACACCTGCTAGAGGGTGATCTGAATAATGTACGTTCACACAGGTGTTAAACGACTGTAACCGAGAAAACATCACCACCTTCCTGAATTCTCGCGTCGCGGTGTCCAACCACTACCTACAGTAGACGACCTTATGAAATCTAGGGTCGAATCGTTACGACGGTGAACGAGCAACTCGTCACGTAATAATTCATATTTCGGATTATACCGAGTAAGGAGACTAGTAGTACGTTCACGACTGTTATAATCCGAAATATGCATATTTGCTGGTTCACGACTGTTACGATTCGAGCCCTGAAGTTTTGTCAATGGCTCGTTTTGGAAATTGTAGCAGATAGTGTTGAACAGAACCGAAACCGAAGAACCGGGTGCTTAAGAGAACCAACCGGTCTGATTCTTACCAAGGAAAACGGATTTAACGGTACGGAAATTCGACTCCAAAAGAACAGAAAAACGATTCCTGAAGAACCGAAACTCGATTCTAAAATAATAAAAAAACCTGTTCCGGAAGAATCGAAACTCGATTCTAAAAGAACGGAAAAACCGTTCCGAAAGAACCGAAACTTGATGTTAAAAGACCCGAAAACGGTTCCAGAAGAACTGAAAAATGATATCAGAATACCCGCAAAAATAAGTAAAAAGAAATGAATAATCGAAAACGGATCCTACAGAACCGAAAATATGTCAGGAAGCACCTCATTGCACAATGGGCAAAAAAATTTCATGTTTTGGCAAGAAGTCTAAATATCAGCCCGAAATTGGGTCTAGATATATACGAATTTTAGCAGTTAGTAAGGGTTAAGTTATGTATCACTATTCATTATTTGTAATTAGCATTTATCCTTTAACCCTTAGTTGGATTAACATTTACATACTATGTTAACCCTTCGCAATACTTAACTGCTACAATTTGTTTGTAATATAGAGTTCTGAGTTGACCTACCAAATTTTTTCGGTTCGGGCCACTATATCATATAGCCGCCATATACCCGATCTGGCCGACTTATGTACATCAACTTCATTGTTTTTTATGCTATTGACTTGAAATTCGATTTGTTCGCGTAATATTGAGTTCTGAGTGTGAATAATTTTTTTTTTCTTTGAACTTAATGTTATGCTAGTTTTCTTTCTTATCTTTGACGCTTTCAAATCGCTGTCAGCGGTCCAAATTCTCGGTGCTCCTTGGAACCGGACTCGATAGAACTAGTTATTAAATATGTACTCGGAACCGCACATCACTAGTAGCAGGTTTAACGCCTGTTAATACAAAAAAAAAAGGCTCTAACGTAGCCCAAAATAAGTATGTATGTATTTTCAGCTTGTGAACGAACATTACGAGTATTTAGGTTGTTGTTTTATATACCAATGACGTTGGAGTAACAGTCTTTGGCCAGACATAAATTTGCGTCATTCCGGTTACGTAAACCCGAATGTCGTGGGAACGAGAATATTTAGGTGCTGCCTGCCGCTTGGTTTTTCTCTGTCCGCAAACTTGTGTGATGCAGTGGATCGTAGGAATTGAAACGAAGCATTTGCCTCTTCTTAAAATTTCAGACCATTTATTTAAATTGATTTGAATAAATCCAATATATGTACATAGGTCCGAAATTTTAATAAAAAGCGATTGCTTAGTTTTTGTTCATACAGTCCAGTGTATATCATCGACGCTTCGACGTGCATATATCGCTTGGAAGACGAGCAGACAAGGCATTTTATCTGTAGCTTCCCGGTGTTCGCTTGTTATTGGCAGATAATGCTAATAAATATTTTCATTTAATTTTTTTTAACAAACACATATTTTTTACCTTAACCAAGCAATAAACAACCAATTGATTACAGACCAATTTATATTTCGAAGAAGCTGTTATATTTATGTATATTGTATAGCTTTTATTTTTATTATTTCACGGCCAACTTAAAATTAGGTCACCAAATAGTTTAATACAGATGTCGTTGTAAATCTCCGACCAAAGAGTTTACTTGCAAATGCTATAAGAGTATATCGACAAAACAATTAGGAAATTTATAGTGAAAAGAAAATTTAAAAGAAGTAAATTTTATAAGATTGAAATTTGCCAAAGAAACCCAGCCACAAAGCGCGCGCACACAACAAGTTTTTAACGTTCACCTCACCCCCACACACAGCACTACACCAGCATAACGAATCATATGTCAACCCTGCACACACCCTCACACAGCAAAACCGCATCGCAAAATCCAGTTATATGCCAAATGACAGTGAAGTGTAACGGACAATTGTCGAAATGCTGACACGCTTAGCTAGTGACTGGATTTTACTTTTCGACCCCATCATCCCAACAAACAATCCACCCAACGTCTTTGCCAGCTGTATGAAACAAAATTGACTGTCACTTTTTTTTATAGTTATAATATTGGGGAATAGGTGCGTCAGGCAGCAGCACTCTATTGTTACTCCCTTCCATTTTTGATGTTTAAATATTTCCCGCTAATAGCTGCTCCCTCTGGCATCCCATCGACGTCGCACTGATATTAATGGTGATTGTTGTATATACGTATGTATGTATCGGATGATCAGCTTCCACTTGTTCGCCTTCGTCTGATATCTACCACTGCTTGATTATCTTCCGCTAACTGTTGTCCACTTCATTGAGTGTAGTCGCGCTGCTGCTGCTGCTACTGCTGAATTGAGTTAAGTTAAGGCTTCTCATGTACGAAGCCGTTTCATTAAGCATTTACACCCAAGGAGTCCAGCCTTCGTAGAGCACAGCTAGATTATCGGGGTTCATTGCCTCGCGTATGATATAGTCAACTTGCTCGGCAATAGTACAACGACGATTCGAATCGGGATCGCGACCTTCCAATTTCATGCGTACACGCTTCCAAACGGACACAGCGTATGCGTTGCGCTTTTGCTCGCCAGGATTATTGGTAGTGGCAGCTGAAATATAAACAGAATTCGAAAATATAATTTTAATTGTAATATATATGTATGTATGTATGTACGCATATTTACCCTTCTTATCGCCTGTGACATCATCAACTGCTGTAATCGCTGGCACTTCCTCTCTATTACTAGTTGTAGATTTTTGGACACCCTCCAAAGCTGCCGCATAGCTGGCTCTGTTACGCAAGGGCGAATCCACAGTTACACTGCTCGTCGAACTCTCGCAGTCTTCGGCTTTGAATCGTTGTCCCAAGTCTAGCAGGGCTGCGTAATTTTGTTCATGAGACGATAGTAGCTCGCGCACCTTTGCCTTAAGCTCTATGGGAGTAGTATCGGTGGTATTGCGAGAGAGTAGCTGCATTTGTAACTCATTTAGTTTGTTGTGGAAGAAACGTAGCGCGTGCTGAAGGTCACGTGCGTGTGCTGCGAAGCCTGCTCTGTCTACAGCAGCTGAGTTGCGTACATTGCGATCGTTCTTGGTAATTGCTTTGAAGAGTTGGCGCATATCACTGCGCACTTGATGCTCCAGAAGGGGCTATATGGCAAACATTTTAGAAAAAATACACGTTAGTTTGAATACAAAAATATAAAAGTAAGAAACAACTTATCTCACCAGCATCTGTTGTCCCTGCTCAAAAAGTCCCTCCTTCAATGCTTCTTCCTCGTGCTCGAGCGTGGCCAATTTGCGCTGCACCGTGAATGTCATTTCATCCAGCAAACCAGCAACATTCTGTATCCAACACTGATCAACTTTGCCCTCCGGATCCAACAGCTGCACAATCGATTGCTCAATAGGTGTAACATTTGCGTTACTCTGCCGCATAGTATCCATGGCATCTTGCCACTGTTGCAGCACAGCCAGAAAAGCGTTGTCGGCCTGCAGGCGATTCTCCTTACTCTGCAGCAACTCAAACTGCAGCAAGGCGTTGGCGTAATCGTACATCTGTGTGGTTAGCTGCAACAGTGCATTGTAGCGCAACACCTGCGCCTTTACACATTCCATGAAATTCTCCTGCAACGGCAACAGACTGCTGTTGGTTTGCAGTGCCCAGTTGAGTGGCTGCGTCACAGCTGCCGTATACTCATCCACATCTTCGTGGATTTTTATCATTGTATGCTTCCAAACGCTCAACGATTGGCTACATGCTTGCACGGACTTGAGCAGCTTATCCTTCGGAAAGCCATACATTAGCTGTGTGTCTGACTGCTGCAATTGAACCTCATTCAACCAATAGTGTGCGCTACCCACTAACGCGCAGTGCTCGGCCAACTTAGTGCGCAAAAGCACCTGTATTTGGAAGTTTTTGCCACTGAAGCCCTGTTGCAGCGCATGCAGCAGATTCTGGCACAGACCTCCTGCATTCAGGAGGGTTGTTGCGTCCAGGCAACGCAAATTGAGGCATTGTGCAGAGAGTGCTGTAAGAGTGTCAAGTAGCATGTGTGCAAAAAGCGATGGCAGTCCGCAAAGTATAGAGCGCTGTAGCGTGTTAATGTAGTTACTTAACGGTGCTGAAATTCGGCGCACATCGTAAATGCGCTGCACGTCGTTGTGTACTAGCGCAAACACATTATCGCGGGCCGAACGGAAAATATCAACGATCACTTCGTATTTCAGCGAGCCTGCAATGTCATCAATGGTGTTGCCCAGATAGTGTGATTGCTTTAAGTAGGGGAAAAATACAAAAGGTTATAGACTAAGGCATCAAAGAAAAGAAATTTACGCAAACTCATTTACCACAAACTGCTTGAAATTAGAAACGTTCATATTTTCCAGCATTAGCTCCACTGTTGGTTTCAGTAGCCTAACACGACTTTCGAAATCATCGAAAAGCGCATAAATTTCGTTGAAGAGCAACGTCACTTCAGCGCTGTCATCGTTCAGCTGCAGCGCCGACTCGGCAACGTGTGGTTGGTAGGCACAAATCTCAGCCAAAGCCGTTCGTACTTCTTCTACATTATCCTGCATGAATAGGCGTACTATCCGTTCCGGCAGCGTTAGCTCAAAAGCAGTTTTCAATTTGTGCAACGATTGTAGTGCCTCGGAGAGTGAGAGAAAATCGTCGTAGTACTGTTGATCGGCCTCCGGGAAGGCTACCTGGCACATTTGATGCAACATTTCGAGGAAATTCAGTTGTTGGTTGAGCAAAAAGAGATCTTCAGTTTCAAAAGCGTCCTGTTCGAAGAGCAATAATGAATCGTTGGCCTTTGACAATGTTTCAAGCATGCACGATTGCAAAGCTTGCGTATGGCTGGCCGGATTCAAGGCAATGAATGTGTGTATCGTAGTGACGGCGGCATCAAATGAGATTGACTGCAAGAAAGGCATTAGACAATTAGGAAAGGAATAATGAACGTATGTGGCAGTAATCTTAAAATTTTCGCCTCTTTGTATTAATTAGACGATATGTGCCTTAATGTATGCATTATCGGATTACGGAGCGTATTTTACAAAATTTTTACATAATGTTGAGGCGACTTTTAACACCTAGCGCCTAAAAGCATGCTACTTCCTCGATAAACCCGAATAAAAAGGGCAGCACAAGTATGTGCGCAGCTACATATGCAAAATTTTCATATAAGAAATTATGCATATGCATTTCTCAAATGACACATGGCAAAACGTTTTCAAGTTATAAGTTGATAGCACGCCAAATCATGTTCAGCTAACTTTACGTATCCCCCACAAACTCTTCCGGATTTTATAAACGGCAAACGGTCTCTGCATTACCATTGGCCACATCGCATGGGTACATTTTTAATTAAATCGTCGATGCCTTTGCAAAACTGCCCATCGACCAATTACAAAATCGCCTATCTATTTTACCGAAGAGCGAAAAATCCGTTTTTCTTTGAAGGCATTGACTTGATAAACAGTATTTTCTCAAGCTATTATTTTACAGATATGTTGTTTATGCATAAATCGCGATGCCTGGAGTTCAGGGTTACCAAATCTCATTTTTGCCACAATGGCGATTTAGGCGGTTTTGCAACTGCTCAATGGGCGGTTTTGCAAAGGCATCGACGAAATACATTTTGTGCAGATGCATTAATCCCCACCCTCAACTCGCACTAAGTCAATCACATATCTCATTCACCTTTTAGGCAGTTCTCATCCTGCTTATGAAATAGTTAAGCTTTTGTTCGACAATTTCATTACTTTACTTTGTCTACCCCCCAAAAAAAGAATTTTCAATCTACTTAAGTCAAGAAAACAATTATATAGCTACAGTAAATAACCATCCCCTCTGTACTCACCACTTGATTGGAGTGCTCATTCAAATCATTAATCGCCGTAGCCAATTGCATATTCGCCTCAATCCAAACCTTCTCCAGCCCATTTGCATATTGCACGATATGTCGCCTCCCAGTGTCTACTACACTAACTTGCTCATCACCTTCCTGCCACTCCTCCAACTGTTTTTGCAGCTCTGCCATGCTCAACTCATCACTTATCAATTCGCGATAAGCTTTCTCATATTTAACCAAACGATTTTGCAGTAAACGCGAACGTGGATAAAATTGCATTACACCAGTATATTGTTGCAGCAAATCGATGCATTCCAGGGCACAACGACACTGCTGATAGAGCGTATTGTCCATTTCTTTACGCGTGAAGTCGCATTGCGCATACAATTGCTCTTGATTGCTCTGCTCGAGCAGAGTGCGTAGCAATTCGAATTCATTCGCTGGTACATTATGCTGCAAATCGCAGAGTTGCATTTGCAGTGCCGATAGCTCATTTGTGGCATAGGCGGTAAGCAAGCGTTCAAAGTAGGTATTGAGCAGCATAAAAGTATCCTTCTGATATTTTTGTACATTTTCTTTGACTGCAGTGAAAGCTTCCTTATCGTGTTTGCATGTGTTGTGACGATCGGTAATCGTATTGAGGGCATGACTGCCCATCGCAGTGCCGAGCGCTTGCAGTTCGCGTATCATAGCCCATTGCTTAGAAATGCGATCGCGTTCTTGTTCTTCTCGACGGATCTCCGCTTGTAGTGCAATCAGGTGATCGAGCGCTCCTTCGATTTCGGTTAGACGCATTTGCAGCTCATCTCTGAAAGAAGAAAATATGATTTGAACTTTACTTTAAACGGAAAACATTTAGTTTTGAGTGAGAAACCCTAATACTTGTCCATTCATTTGTTTACGGTTTTGTACCGTCAGTTTCGCTAGCGACCTTACCTGTATTGGATCCAATAAGGTTTTAGCTCATTCAGTCGCATTTCCAATGACTGACGCGTACATTCCCAATTCTGTCGGCGTTGCACAGTATCATCAATAGGTCCATTGACTTTTGCGCTGCCTTCCTTTTGCATAACCGCCGCTGTCGCATCCAATGCATTTAGGCTCAACACAGCAGCATGGGCTGACGTGGCACGTGGTACGGTGCTTGTACCATCATCACTCACAGTCCAATCGACCAAGGGATCGTAAACAAATGCCTCCAGCAGAGTGAGCAAAGTTTCACGCTCCTTGCGCAATATTTTTAAAACATGCTCGCAGCCCAAGCGGAATGTGCCCTACGCGAAAAATTAAGATAAATGATGAAAGTTTGCAAAACAAAGAAATAAAAATACTTAAATACAAGAAATACAATTGATTGTATGTATATTTTTTAAGTAAAAACAAAGCAAGAAATGTAGAAGCCGCTTGCTCGTAATCTTTCTCCATTAATTTTTGGGTACAAGTATTTGCACATTTCGACTCATACATGCATACATACTCGCATATGTAGAGTGGTCGAAAAAATTATAGCCGCACCACACTTTACAAAGTTTTAACATTTTTTTTTTTGATTTTGGTTATTTTTTATAACAAGTAATTTTCAAGCAAAAAAATACAAAATCGACTTTAATTCTCATATAAAAATTTAAGATTATCGTTAATTTCTTCATGCTCTAATCATAGGATCTAAACCAATTTGAGACGACCTCTGAGGTACAACTTTTCATTTAAAAAAATAATTATGGAAATCGGTTAACGTGGTCCAAAGTTATGCGTTAACATACATAAAAAAAAATGTTCCGACGAATTGATAATCTCCTCCTTTTTTGAAGTCGGTTAAAAATATTGTTCATTCTTTAACAAAACCCGTGTAAATCCAAGTTTCAAACCTTGTGCAATATTGAAGAAAAAATCAATAAACTTTAGTAAAAATTTCTAGCTTTTTTAATTAGATTTCCTAGAAAGATTCTGAGTATGCAGTTTGTAGCTCACTTAATTCTAGTAGAATAAATTGCAAGTTTCAAGTGGCTGAAAATTACTGTGAATTTTTTAGCTATTCTTTGTCCTATTTGCTTCCATATAACGAATACGCACAATTTATTTCTTATGAGAGAAAATTGAAACATCTGCGACAAAAAAATTCTAAAAAATCAGCCGTTTAAAACTTGCACTTTGTTCTACTACATAGAATTCAATCATCTACAAAACTTCACACTCAGAATCTTTCTAGGAAATCTAATTAAAAGAGCCTCGAAATTTTTATGAAAGTTTTTAAATAATGCACAAGTTTGAAACTTGGATTTACACAGGTTTTGTAAAAGAATGCACTATATACATATTTATAAAAAAAAATAACCTTATTTAAATAACATAAAAAAAATATGTTATAACTTGCCAGAATGTGGTGCGACTATAATTTTTTCGCCCATTGTATGTACATATTGTATGTGGATGCATACGTATGTATGTACGTAATTGGCAGCCCCCCGTGATAATTATTAGACGTCAGTTAATACGGGTATCAACACTGTGCTCAATCATTTCCACCTACCACTTGAGAACGCTGATAACGCAAAATATTTCAGGTTATTAGGTTGAATTCATAATATTGTAGCATTTTCGTGAGTTTGTTAGTGCAAATAAATTTGTTCACTATTTAGTGTCTAGTATATCGACCCCTTTGCGCAAAATTATCGCATGTACCTACTAGAAACCAAATTATAAAGGAAATCGTTTTTTCTACTTTTTTACACAAGAAAAAAATGCATTGAAACATACGATGAAATGTAGAGTAAATTTTTGGCGTAACTATAGGGATTGCACCTATAATATTTTACCAGGTGATGCGTTGTGGGGTGTAGAACAAATTTGAATGAAAAAGTAGATTTCGAAAAAACATATATACATATATACATATATATATATATATATATATATATATATATATATATATAT